ATTAATTGTTTATAATTTATATCGTTCAAATTCTAAATTTCGAAAGACGAAAAATTAAAAATATAAATCATTTTAAAAAAGAAATTCGAATTTACGTAAACACGCTATGTATCAAGGGTTAACTCTCTTTTTTGCATAAAAACTGTCGTTAGTTGTAATAAAAGTAATTGGTGCTTATTATATATATATATATATATATATATATATATATATATATATATATATATATATATGTATGTATGTATCTATGTGTGTATGTATGTATGTATGTATGTATGTATGTATTACGCTATCCAAATAATTTTTATTTAAAACTTTAGTCTGACACAATCCCTGAAAAAATGGACCCCTGTGCTACGACACTTGTGCTCGTCTGACTACTCGTTGAACAATGATAAAATTGATACCAAGCCGAAATTATTCACTGGTGTGCCATTTCCCAGGGCGATCTTTTATTACGATATATCTGAGTTAGCCATCTTCATATTCTACATGACTAAAACTCCCCTCTGGCCATTTTTTCAGGAACAGATCTTTCAAAACTGTCTCCTTCATCTCTAAATGGGTCCTATCGGGCAGTGACTATTTTATCCCAACGAAAATTTCGAACGGTAACCAAATAGCCAACCCTGTTCATGTCAGAATGTGCTCTAGCCACAGGCCATCGTAAAACCTACTACTATCCCCCATCACAGTGGACGGTTTAGTCGGTCACTTGCGGCATCCTACACTGCCCCCCCCCAATCAACGCAAGAGAGTTCTACGAAACGCAAAATAGCAGCTGTGCACAATCAGTCCAAGACAAAGTTGAAACGAAAGACCCGATTTCCTGTGAGTTTTGAAAATTCTCGAATAAAATTCTTAAAAGAATCAAAACCTCTGTGTTAAGATAATCATAAATGGCCCTAAAGTTATTACATCCTAATATGACAACTCTACGCTAGACGATAAGAACCATCCCTTACCTGACTTTCCCCCTCCTCCCGTAGAACAAACTGTGTTATATCTCTATCGGGAAGTTTCCAGCCTTGACTCTCAGAGGGCCACAGATCCGGACAAAATCCCCGTGATTGTTCTTAAGAATATCAACCTAGAATTATTTCCAGCTCTGACAAAACTAGTCTGCTTTCCTTGTCCATGGAAGGTGCCAGCTTGTCTCCTGTTTTTATAAATGCAGGTGAGCGCTCTCATGCCTGTCGCAATATCGACCCATTAGGCTCCTCAGTGTCAACAAACTATTCGAATCTATAATCAATAAGACGGTCGTCGAACACCTCCTGAGTGATAACCAGTATGAATTTCGTTCCACTAGATCCACAGATGATGTCTTGACCGTGATTACCCACATAATCAGCGAAGCCCTAGATATCTCAAAGGCCTTTGACTAGGTGTGGCATCGGAAGCTGCTGTATAAACTCTCCGGCTATGGAATCTCTGGAAGAGTTCTATCAATTACCAAGTCCTTACACACAGCTAAGTCCCTGAAGGTTATTGGAAGTCCTTAAGACCAATGGCGTTCCTCGGTTTTCTATCCTATCCTCTTTCGACTGTATATTAATGATCTGCCTAAGAGCATATTCTGATCAGTAGTGAGTGTATCTATGCGGATGATAGAAAAGTTTAAAGTCGCAACTCCAAAATTCTAAAAGTCCAGAACCTAGTAACTCTTCCATCCTCTGACCCAAACAGGTGATTCGATGGGGAAACGACTAAACTATACAATTCAATAAGGCCAAAACCAGTAACTAGTAATATTCTACCACCACCGAGCAGACCCCAAATTTTCACCTATCATGATGGAAGGGAGTTCACTCAAAAACCCCTTTTCTCACAGAAGTTTTTCGAGCCTCTAGCAGCTCTACCGTTGTTTCCATGGTATGTGTCCTGACGAGCTCCATTCCTTACTTTCCCACCTACAGCTGGGATCCGCCATGCTACGCACACAAGGATAAATCATCCCTATTCCCATGATATTTCTATATTAAGAAGTTCCATTCGGACAGCTTCTTTGGGGTACAAACTCTCGATGGAACGCTTTCCTAATCACTACAATCTTGACTTCTTCATGTCTAGGGTTAACCGTTAATTTTCCTGCTTAAACCCATAATCTTCACTTCTAGCCCTTTCTTACGCTCACCTTTACATTTTCGATGAACATTAGTATAAAAACTTGTTGTAACGGAATGTCCCACGCTCCCTATCGCCTATGTGGACTGACTATATATAGTGAGTACAGGATATACCTGGGGGCTTGCTTCGGCAATTAGTTGGATTCGTCTCCAGATAAGCTGGTCGAACTCGATGACTTCGGGCAAAGAGGAACCCAGACGAGGCTATGCCGAAGGACAGAGTCTCGTCTGTGGTGGTAGACAGCTACCCGACCCCGTTTTCTACGGGGTCCACGGGGAATTTTTGCCCGAGCCTACGCGCTCGGATTTACCCCGCATTAAAAATGGCCTTGTGCCACATCCTGCCTCGCGGGGAGGTGAGGTAAATAGCCTTGCTTCGGCAATTAGTTGGAGATTCGAATCTCCGGGCAGAGAGGATGCCCAGACAAGGCTATGTCGAAGGACAGAGTCTCTTCTCGGGAAACAGCTACCCGACCTTGTTTTATATGGAAAATTTTTGGCCGAGCCTACGGGCTCGGATGTCACACATTAAATTCGGCCTTGTGCCACATCTAACCACGTGGAGCGGTTGGTAGATATCCTTGCTTCGGGAATTACTAGCCTGTCACCCGATTCCCTGTCTTTCAGTAGTGTATTCTCTTTTACAATAAACTTCTCTTCTTTCATCTACGCGCGTGTTGCTGTTCCTTCACTCGAGTACCATCTTTGTCTGTTTGTAACCTCTTTAAGGATACAACAAAACTACAAACATACGTAATTCATTTGCGTATTTTGCACCAGTGTCAGAGGTCAATGTTCAATTTTAGATAAAAATTATTTCTAATGTTGATTTTCAAGGTAAGCAAACATTTAATTTTGAAAATTTCTGCAATCTTCCTACTTTCATTTGGCTTTGAATCGTAGTGTTTATATGTGTCTGTGCGGGTCTAATTGCATTCCCGTGTGTGTGTGTGTGAGAGAGAGAGAGAGAGAGAGAAAGATGGGGGCAATATCTTTAGATTAAAAAATATCTCGCTTTTATCATGAAAAAGCGATAAAATTATTTCTGTGAAGTTTTCGGAACAAATTTAAGTTTGATAATTTCGTATAAGTTTTGTTTGTCTTTTTTTTTTTTAAATATTCTCGCGACATTGTCTTATTTTGGTGTTATTATTTGATCGATTTATTTTTAACTTTTTCTCGGGACCTCAATTACTGAGCTCATCAAAATAATTTAGACTGCTTAGTGGCAAATTTCCGCTCTTGTCATTTTTTTTTATCTCTTTCGCATCTAAATTGAAAGCCAAATTAAAATTATAAATCGATTCATATTTTTAGAAATCGTTTTAAGGAGTCTGTTGCATCGCTGAAACGACCGACAAAAATATCTCATTAAAACCAATAATGAACAAAGAGAGCACCTAATTAATATATCAACGATGAACTGATTGCGAGTGTGACTAGACATGTCTTGAAATTTATTCGGTCGATGTGTAAAAGTTCCCGGCGTTCTTTTTTGTATACTAGATAAAGAATACACAACGGTTGATAACCGTTTTTCGCCGGAAACTTTTGCAAACAGTTAAAATACTAAACGAATGCATTGATCGATCAATTTGGCATGTGCACTCTCTCTCTCTCTCTCTCTCTCTCTCTCTCTCTCTCTCTTTCTCTCTCATTCTATTTCTCTCTCTATCTTTCTTTCGCTTTCTCTTCAATCTTACCTTCTCTCGTTTTTCCCTTTTTTTCTTCATCCTATCTCTCTTTCTTCCTCGCTTTCGTCCTTTCAATATCCCTTGCTCTCGCTTTCACCCCTCAATCTCGTTCGCTTGCCACTCTTTTCTTCAACTTTTCTCGTTGTCTTTCTTTCTTTTTTAATCTCTTTTACTCCCCCTCTGTCAAATATATATCTCTCTCTCACTCTCTCTCTCTTTCTCTCTCTCCTTTACAATATATACTCGACTCTCCCGTCGAATTCGACGTATGAGGGTCAAGCAGATCAGTTCCTAGGAAACTGACAGCCCGACAACAGCACGTGAGATTTGATTATACAGTGTAACCCGGATATAAGAGAAACCCAGATATAAGAGAGATTTTCTCTGGTCCCTAAGTGTTCCCATACTTACCTAAACAAAACAGACCAAACTCGGATATAAGAGAAACCCGGATATAAGAGACTTCTTCTCCGGTCCCGACAACTCTCTTATATCCGGGTTACACTGTAGTAGTGAAAGTTTCGTGCAGGACCATCTACACTTTTTAAATGACCGAATACAGAGACTTGGTGAACTACGTGCCACGGGGTCCCTAAACGACCCTCCGCAGGTTTTGAATTCAGAGTTTTCCTTCTCCTAGACTAGTTGCCATCCAAAGCTATAGGAACCACTCTGTCCTGCTATTTACCCATAGCTGGGGGAGAAGAAGAGGATTCACACCTTTCTCAAGGGTATTAGCACGTAAGTGAATGTAATGGATTCGACTGGAATTCGAACTCAGCTCTCCGATTCCTCAATCCGAGCCGCTATCCATTAGTGACTCCTTCAATATATATATATATGTGTGTGTGTGTGTGTGTGTGTGTGTGTGTGTGTGTGTGTGTGTGTGTGTGTGTTTCGTTAGAGAAAACTGACAAGGTACTGCTTTTTACTTTATTTTTCTTGTGTCCGTACAAGTGTTTTCTTTTCTGGACTCAAAATGTGTAAAAACTGTCCAAAAGTTCTGCATTTCCAAGCGCTTTCGGCTATGATTTTAGCCATTATCAAGGATGATTTTATTTTTACTTCAAACTGAATGTATGGGTTGTGTTATGTATTTATCAAGAGTTATAAGAATATTTCGTTTTCCAAACACGATCAGCACATTGTGGCCGTGTTCATAATGTTATCGAGTGTTGGCTTTCTCTTTTTTTATTGTTAGGACTCCCATTATTTTTAATCCTTTTTTTACATGTAGATGAGGTTATTATGATTTTATTTTCTACTAGAATGTTTCGGATGATAGGTTTTTGTGTGTGTTTAAATGAGTCCTAATGGAGCTATGGTCGGGTAGGTATAGCGTAAGTAGTCTGGATAGGCATCTAGTAATGTGACCGATGAAATTATTTAGGAGTTTGGTTTACACTACAGGTATTCCTGCTATATATTTAGAGATTCTTGATAAAATCCAAAAAATAATCTGCAATTGGTCCTGATCTGGCATCTCGACTTCAATCACTTTCCTACTGACGTAATGTATCTTCCCTGTGCATTTTCTATAAATACTTTCATGGTAATTGTTCTGATGCACTGTCCGCTATGGTATCTAAACTTTATGAAATTCAACGCAGTACTAGATTGGCAGCGAGGTCTCATCATTTTAAATCTGAAGTTAGTAGAAGTCACCGTAAGTTCTATGCTACCAGTTTCTTTTCTCGAATTTTTCAATTGTGTTATTTGTCTTCCGGCTTCTTGCTTTCCAGTCAAATTTGATCTTCAAAGTTTTAAATACAATGTCAATCTTTATATTCTATCTTCTTGATTTCTCTTCTTTTAATGGTCTCATTCCTTAATAATGTTTTTTTCTTACAATCTTTCACACTTATATTCTTTTCATACACACACAAACACACACACACACATTTATATATATATATATATATATATATATATATATATATATATATATATATATATAGCGTTATTATAATTTGTATTTGAAATTTCACTATAATAACGCTTGAAGCAATAAAAATGTTGGATTAAAATAAATACAATAATGTTTCATAAATTGTTTTGTTTGAGTTTCGGGTCCGAAACTGAGCAAATTTTGAATCTCGAGAAAAATAAACTGAGTGGCGAGGATGTGTTTTCTTTTAAAATGGAAACTAGAATGGCCGAGCGGCAAAGCACAACGGTTCAAATGGTGGTTTCCCTTACAATATGTGGCAGAAATTCGATCCCTGCCGGAGAACACATTTTCTTTGATAGGATTTCTTGAAGGCATAGGGCGATAGATGTAATACCCACTGTTTAATAAAATAAATAGGGAATCTATTTCAAATACTAATTATCTACTATAAAAATGTCATATTAAAATAAATCCATTAACTCTTCAGAAAAAATATATATATATATTTATTTATAATTATTTTTTTTAAAAATATGATTCCTTCGCTACATAAAAGTTCTCATGTTTCAAAAACAAGAGCCAAAAGTTCTTTTTCATCCTCAAGCGAAATTCTTTGGAATAACTAATCTTGAAGTTTACGCATCTTTATAAGCATATTCATTCGTAGAATAAATTACTATAGAAACGGCTGAAGCGACCAGTCCAATAAGGGGGGGGGCGTAAGGGTTAACAATTTGTATCAACATATCAGTCACCCTCGGAACAGCCTTGTTTTTCAAACGTGAGAAATCATATGTAGCAAAGGAATCATATTAAAAAAAATAATAATTATAATTATAATTTAGGCTGTACTTTTGTATTGAGCACTGTTTTTTTTTTTTAAATAAAAACAAAAATACTAAAGAACTTCGGATTATTTACCTAACGTGTTCTTTCTCTTATTTTCTATATATTTGTATATACACGCGAGCGTATATATATATATATATATATATATATATATATATATATATATATATATATATATATATATATATATATATATATATATATATATATATATATATATACATGGCCCCTTCTGGGTCATACCGACAAAACCCAATCCCGGGCTGTCGAGTTCCATCTACTGTGTTTCATCGCCAGCCAGCTCCTTTGACAGCTGAACGAACTGTCTCAAATTACGATTTTCAATTTGGCGATAATGTTTTTAACGCCACGCGGCCACTGATACTTCTCTACAACTCGTAGATACTTTAAAGAATCACAAAACACGAACGATTCATTTTTTGTTTTCAGATTTTTACACAAGTTCTTTTGTTGTAAAAAGAAAAGGAAACAAAAACTTCTTTATTTTGTAGCACTCATGCTAATCGTTTCCTATTAACATTAGCACTCTGCAACAAGTTTCTAGAGTTCGATCCTCATTGGCTACCCATACTTTTGTCCCTGTATCAGATTAGGTTAAGCTCTGACAATACCTTCATATTGTCGGCTGTTTCCGGCAATTTCTGAGCAAACCGTTTCGCCGCTAGCTTTTCCTGCCATTGAAGAATCAATCACCAAAAGCGAACAAACCTTTTGCTGTCCATAGACGGACATTAAATAAGACACACGTGATTACTTTCTCTCAAACGAATTATTTTGTTTCCTTTCCCTGGACACACAGTGGCCACTGTACAGCCAGATCGATCAGCCCAGCAGTCACACTGAGCGGAAGAAAGATTCCAGGTAACGACACGAAGTGAATTAGAGAATTAATGACCTGTTTGTTCAGAGAGTGTTGTATTTCCAATTGGCGACACTAGTCGCGTTTTCAAATAATGTAACAAGCCCGGATTTTGAATGCTGATTTTCCATGCAAGCATGTTTCCTCCAACTGGAAGATTTGCACAACACAGTTTTGCTACTTCCATTTCTCGCAATTTGAATTCTTACATTGTTTAAGCATTTTATCAAAATATAAGAAAATATCTGGTCAGATAGAGACAGATTTTGCACAGTGGTCGACCTTGCAACCATAATAGTATCAACATTCGAAATAGACCACTTCGCCTACTGACATGGGATCATTTCTAATTTCCTGTACAAGGCCAAAGAGACACTTGAGGTAGAAGGTAAAAGAGTAAGGGGTATATTTTATAGGGATATTTGGGGAAAATAACGACTGACCCTAGATTTAAACAGGCCAAGATTTTCGAAATTCTTCATCTATTGACACGGAATCTTTTCTAGTTTTTTTAATGATATTCTCCTTATGTCAGGCCAAGGTGACAGTCAAGGTAGAGGGTTACTGAGTTAGTGGTACAGTTTATGGTCATATGTGGAGAAGATGACGGCTGACCAAAGATTTAAACAGACCAAAATTGTAGGGTTCGGGGAAGCATCCTCTTGGGAGTCGGTATGACAACGCAGCAATATTGCGTAATGATAAGTTACATAACTTATTTTGAGTTTTATTTGCAACCATATTTACCATCTTTAGGAAAAAAATAACTCCGACAATTAAATGTTCAGATAGGTGTAACAAAATTCATACCTGAATTAGAAAACGAATTATGGGAAAAGTTTCAAAAAATTAGAATTAATAATACAGATTATAAATTGTGTGGGAAGATAACAGCTGACCATAGACTTAAACTGGTCAAGATTATAGAAATCGGGGAAGCATCCTCTTGGGAGTAGGTTCCGCTGTACTGCATAATAATAACCTACAACCGTATATTGAGTTTTATGTACAGCCATGGTTTACGTATTTGGAAAGAGATAGACACTTGCATGAAAATGTTCCGAGACATGCAACAAAATTTATAAATCAATTTCACTATATGAGTTCTGAAAACAGGTTGAAAAAAAAGGAATTAATAATATTAAAGAGATCTTTATGGAAACATTTCGTTGCTTCTTCTCGGATTTTCCACGAACATGAAGAGGAACGATTGTATTGAATCAATTGCTAGGTCTGCTGATAAGAAAGTTGGTTCACTGTATCGTATTAGACAATTTTTCTCATCAGAATCTATCATTTATAGGCCTACCATTGGTCCATCTATTGAATATTACTGTCACATCTGATCTAGTGCTTCTGCTATGTATTTAGCGTTTCTTGATATATTCCATAGAAGAATCTGTATTGTTATCGGTCTTATCCTGGCATCTAGCCTTCAGTCACTTTCCCACCTCCATATTGTAGCTACCCTGTGCCTTTTCTATAAATATTTTCATGATAATTGTTCTGATGCACTTTTTCCTCTTTTGTATCCTGACTTTACGAATTTAAACGTAGTATTAGATTGGCCGCAAGGCCTCTATCATTTTGCAGTTGAAATTTCTAGATGTAACCGAAAGTTCTATGCTAACAGTTTATTCTCTCGCACTTCTCGATGGTGAAACTCTATTCATGCTTCTTGCTTTCCAGTCAAATTTGATCTTGAAAAATGTAAATGCATTGTCAATCGCCATCTTCTGTCTCCTGAATTCCTGTTATTTTATTATCTTCTCTGCTTTATTCTCAGATTCTTTCATATTCAGTAACCTCTTGGATCTTAGTAGCTTAATCGCCTTGCTTGGCGTGAAATTATTTTTTAAAAAATGGGTAATTTTGACTCATTTTTATAAAACGTTGTTACAAACACTTCTAATGTAACAGGATTTTCTGTTTCCCTCAAATGTTCCATTTTCCGATAAAGTTTCATTCTGACAAAAATCATGATAATCATGATGGTTTGTCTATATTTCTGAGATGACGTATTGTAATTATTTGCATTATTTACATTGTTCGCCACTGTCGTAGCCAGGTATTGAACTCACAACTCTTTGAGTCAAGTCACTGGATCCACTGAGCCATATATACTCAATAGATAAAAGAGAGTTGAGTTAAAGGGAGATAACTGAGACATCCGGAAGAGACATGGCACGTAGAACTAGAATACTTTACCCCGGGGGACGAAATAAAGAGTTCAGTTCGAAATTTCAATCACCTGTAGAAGGCCGGAGCATACAACGGCCGAAACGTCGTGAACATGGCAATAAAAATGAGGACAACAGTTCGAACGTAAATGTAAATAATCGAGATGGTCGTACAAAAAATGTAAAATAGGAAAAAGTCAAATGTTTCTTCATATTTTGTGCGAGAATATAAGTAAAATGCTTTCCATTTTCGTATAAAATAAATTTTCATGCTAACCGATAGTTTATGTGATTGAATAAACTGTAAGAGAATTTTTGTTAAAGCCTAAAACAGTTGGAAATAATCCGTAAGCATCCTACGACTACAGAGTAACTCTACTAGTTGTACAATAAAAATATGTCAAGCACTTGCTTCTGCGCCTGTTTGAACTGGGAGAGATTTGACTGGAGGCGTCTGTAACTATTTAATCTCTTTCAAATGTTAATCTCAATTGCGAAGAAATAATCCTACTGACAATGGTTTACTGTTTTTATTATCGACAGCAAATATTAATGTTTGTTCTTGGCATTGTATTTGTCGCTTAACGGTCGGAGGAGAATCAACAGGAATATTGTTCTGACAGATTCCAGGATGTATAGTTTCGATAAAGTTCTAAACTTCGAAAAGAGTTTTGGTCAGCTAGAGATTTATTTGTAAACGTCTTTATTACAACGTTTCGGCCGTTGTACGCTCCGGCTTTTTTCAGGAGGTTGCAATGTCGAACTGAACCCTTTATTTCGCTCACTGGGGTAGACTGTTCTAGTTATCTCCTGTTAATTCCCCTCTGAAAGTTCTTCACTGCCTTAACCGGATATTGAACTCACACTCTTTGAGTCCTGTCACCGGATCTAACTATAGCACAGTGGATAAAAGCATTAGTTAGATCCAGTGAAGATGAGGATAACAGTCTTTGGGTACGTAGGTTGAACATTTTCGTTCATTTTTGGATGAGGTTCTCCTCTTGTGGAAAATAGTTCGATGTCTAATGAAACTTTGTGAAGGAACTTGCCGAAATTGTGTGTAATGTTCCGGCTACTTTCAACCATCGTTGATCTCTTTTTTTTTTTTTTTTTTTTTTTCTGAGGGAAGAGAGTAGAAGTCAAAATATAAACAGTGGAGATGGTCGAAAGTAATTGGAACATTACACACAATTTCGGCAAGTTCCTTCACAAGTTTCCAATACACATCAAACAACTTCTTCGAAAGCAAGAGAAACTTATCAAAAGGCTTAACGGACATTCCTTCTCCGTTATTTAAATAAAGAACTACCAAAATATATTATGCATCGATCCATTTATCTAAATATATCGCTAGATACACATCTATCTATATATCGATTTGTGTTACTTATTTCCTATCTCTTTGAGTTCGTTTATATCTATCTGTACCAGTTTCTTCCTCTCTATCGTCATCTATCCATTTGTGCCGATCTAGTTCATTCTGTTCCTATTTATCTATCTATATATCTAGTTCAGTTTGTTCCTATCTATCTATATATCTAGTTCATTCTGTTCCTATTTATCTATCTATATATCTAGTTCAGTTTGTTCCTATCTATCTATATATCTAGTTCATTCTGTTCCTATTTATCTATCTATATATCTAGTTCAGTTTGTTCCTATCTATCTATATATCTAGTTCATTCTGTTCCTATTTATCTATCTATATATCTAGTTCAGTTTGTTCCCATTCATCTATATATCTAGTTCATTCTGTTTCTATTTATCTATCTATATATCTAGTTCAGTTTGTTCCTATTTATCTATCTATCTAGTTCATTCTGTTCCTATTTATCTATCTATATATCTAGTTCAGTTTGTTCCTATTTATCTATCTATCTAGTTCAGTTTGTTCCTATCTATCTATCTATATATCTAGTTCAGTTTGTTCCTATTTATCTATCTATCTGGTTCAGTTTGTTCCTATTTATCTATCTATCTAGTTCATTCTGTTCCTATTTATCTATCTATATATCTAGTTCAGTTTGTTCCTATTTATCTATCTATCTAGTTCATTCTGTTCCTATTTATCTATCTATATATCTAGTTCAGTTTGTTCCTATTTATCTATCTATCTAGTTCAGTTTGTTCCATTCATCTATCTATATATCTAGTTCAGTTTGTTCCTATTTATCTATCTATCTGGTTCAGTTTGTTCCTATTTATCTATCTATCTAGTTCATTCTGTTCCTATTTATCTATCTATATATCTAGTTCAGTTTGTTCCTATTTATCTATCTATCTAGTTCAGTTTGTTCCTATCTATCTATCTATATATCTAGTTCAGTTTGTTCCTATTTATCTATCTATCTGGTTCAGTTTGTTCCTATTTATCTATCTATCTAGTTCATTCTGTTCCTATTTATCTATCTATATATCTAGTTCAGTTTGTTCCTATTTATCTATCTGTCTAGTTCAGTTTGTTCCTATCTGTCTATCTATCTATCTATCTATCTATCTATCTATCTAGTTCAGTTTGTTCCTATCTATCTGTCTATCTATCTATCTATCTATCTATCTAGTTCAGTTTGTTCCTATCTATTTGTCTATCTACTTCAGTTTGTTCCTATTTCAGTTTGTTCTTTCTTTCTTTCTATTTATCTATCTATCTGCCCAAATTCAGTTTGTTCCTATCTATCATTCTATATACCTAGTTCATTTTGTTCCTATTTATGTATCTATTCTTCTACCCAGTTCAGTTTGTTCTTATCTATCTATCTATCTATCTATCTATCTATCTATCTATCTACTCAACTCAGTTTGTTCCTATCTATCTATCTACTTCAGTTTGTTCATATATATCTATCGGACCATCAAACCGCTTATATAAATCGGTAATATTGAAGCGCACATAAAAAAAAACCCATATTCGGAAAGACATCTCGAGAGTTCCAAAGGAAGTAGCAGAGGAATCCAGAAAAAGAACGCCATCGATTTAAAGAAATAAAATAAAATAAAATAAAAACACATGGTTTCCTTCCAATCAAATTAACATGAATGTCTAATCCCACCCTAACGCCAAAATTGTCTAAGCATTAATATTCATTTGGATAGTTCACCAAGTGAGTTGGTAGGTGACAATTCCTTATCTTTCTATCACTCTCCCAACTCGGAGATAAATTTTGAATAATCGAATCATTAAAAGACAAGGAACTTGTCGTAAGACGTTCGCTGTCCACGCGAGAAAGATTTTGCGTATCTTTATTCATTCATATACGGGACAATCTACATCACACGGGATTAACTTTTGGTATCATAAACCAGGCCTATTTCTACACAAGCCAGGTGTATTTCTACATAAATCAGGCTTATTTCTACATAAACAAAGCCTATTTCTACACAAGCCAAACCTATTTCTACATAAACCAAACCTATTTCTACAAAAGCCGGACATATTTCTACATAAACCAAGCTTATTTCTACATAAGCCGGACATATTTCTACATAAACCAGTCTTATTTCTACATAAACCAAGCCTATTTCTACACAAGGCAGACCTTATTTCTACCTTAATAAAACCTATTTCTACATAAATGAGATATATTTCTAAATAGATCAGATGTATTTCTACATAAGCCAAAACGTATTTCAACATAAATGCAGCGCCATCATTGGGAAACGATCAACACACGTTGGGGTAAGTAACCTTTTTATATCAGAAATCAAAATGCATACCAACACGCTTACTAATACGGTGAAGGCACGCGTGAATTTGCAATTAAAAAAAAAACAGATTAGAATACATGTGATCTTGTAAAAAAAAAAATGACGCCAGATCCAGGACCTGTTTCAGAAAAATAATTTTTCATCCTGATTAACGATTCGGATCACTATGAAATCCGCACAGTGACATTAACAGCAAAAGGAAATTTAAGAACCAATGGATGATACGGTAGGCATTAAAAACAACATTCGCAGAATACTCTGAAGAAATAACGGAGACTTATTTAGACTCCATAGCTGTTGTTAACATTAACGGAAATGAAGGAAGTTAACCTTACATGAAAAGGTTGATACTTTTAGATGAATAGGTATAACGCGCATTGGAATAGCAAAAGATGTCTTTCAAAAACTAAAACAAGTAATAAAAAACAAGAAAATTTCATTAGAAACAAAGATAAGAGTTTTCAACTGTTATTTAATATCAATCTTTCTATATGGCAGTGAATGCTGGACAATCTCCTCACAAATGAAAAAGAGACTTGAAGCAACAGAAATGTGGTCCTTTCGAAAAATGCTGAATATACTTTGTCCGACGAGGAAGTCTTAAGGAAAAATGAAACACAAAAAAAGCAATTATGCTTAAAACCAGATAGAGACAGTTGAAAATTGTGAGTTATTTAATTAGGAAAGAAAGCTTGGAAAATTACCATTCTCACACACACACACACACACGGCCACTTTATTCATTTTCAAAGGTTTTGGGAGTGTTAAGTGTTATTAAACTCTTTTTATGTTTGTCGATTTAAGATGTAGTTTTATGGTATTTAAATAGTAATAGCGTTTATTCTGAGATCTCGAGTTGAGCGTGGCTGGAATTTCAGTTGGCGTCTTTCTATTTTCCACTGATGGTGAGATTTATAGTGGGTGCTAGATGTTTTATGTAAAGAGCCTCTCTCACAACGAGATGTTTTCGGTAACGGAACCTATATAGGATGCTAATGTTATAGGTTGTTGCATACTGTGGGTAACTTAGCGCCTTTTATGGCTAATGTTATCGACTAGAATCTTTCTTGTAGGTTTGTTGTATACTGTGGGTGGCTTAGCGCCTTTTATAGCACTCTGGTCAGATAAGTGAGACGGGAGACGTCTGCTCAAGGACCGATATCGCTAATTGATTTAAGACAAGAAACAGCCTTGTACTGGGCAGTGACAATGATACACTCTACTGGTCATCGTTAGTTTAGATTTGATAAGGTTATTTTGATTAGTAATAACGAGATTTGCGGTTTTTTATTTTCTGTAATATAAGTTTTACATGTCTTTCGTGGTTTATGACAGAAATATGGTGATTAATGATTAGTCACGTCCTGTTTGTAATTATTGTGTATCTGGTTTCAGTAAAATTGGTTAATGTTTTCTTGTATGGTACTTTTATTACTGGTGTCGTGTATTTTTGTAAGAATAATTTGATTTGTTTATCGGTGACGTAGCTGGGAAAATTATTGATAACTAATGTTTGTTTTATGTGTTTGAGTTCACTAAGAAATATATTCTGTGAAGAATTTAGGTTTGCTCTATTTAGGAAGGTTTTTTTTATCACTGCTATTTTATATCTTTCAGGGTATTGGTTATCATAGTTTAGCACATAGCGAAGAGCACATATTTTCGTTAATAAGTTTCCTCGGACATTCAGGCCGGTAAACGAAAATAAATAAATATTAATATTATCCAGTGGTGTTGAATCAAATTATATATATATATATATATATATATATATATATATATATATATATAGTTTTAAGGTGTGCTATATTTATGGGATAAAGTGCTCAATATCAAGGATAGAGCGTGCGTAAATATAAAAATGAACATTGACGTCAACACTTAGAGGCGACAGTCTGATTCATGCTAGACGCAATTGTCAGGCCACGAGTATGAGTATATATATATATATATATATATATATATATATATATATATATATAAAAAAAGGCTTAAACACTAATATTCCATGGTCATAATTTATTCCATTGAATCGTAAATACGATCCAATTCATCAGACCAACAAATTCAAAAAGAAAACAGAAAAAAATCCACTAATATTATCTATATACATATATATATATATATATATATATAAAGGTAATAAAATCTGTTGTTATATAATCCAAGTGTCCATCCGCCTGGGTTGAATAAGACTCACATACTAGGCGTCAGTTGAAATAGACTATACCCATGAAGTCATTTTGTATTTCTCTGTTGTGTAATATATATATATATATAAACAAGTTTGACTAAAAACAACAGGCATGTCTGTCTGTTTAAATTTTTCTATGATATTTTTCCAGTTTTAGGATAAGGTGTTGAGCATTGTGCTCGAAGTTGTGGATAAACTGTCCTAAGATCTCCAACACTAATAATAAAAAAGAAACATTAATTAATTAAACAAAAATAAAATAAATAGTAATCTTTTAGGGTGACCCTCTTCGCAATCGCCGTTACGCAAGACCATTTCAAACGTCCAGCTTCCCAAAAAATATCAGGATACAGACAAAGGAATTAACGCACAGACACCTCATTATTTCCTGATAATGACTGCAAAAGTCGAAAGTACTTGATCAAAAATAAAAAAAAATATGACCTTCGAACAGTTTATCCACAACTTCGAGAACAATAATCAACATCTTATTCGAAAATTGAGAAAATAGAATATATATTAAACAGACAAACCATGTCAGTTTTCCTTATTAAAACATGTTTAGATAAATACTTGCTGCCTAAATGTACCTTGTTCATATATATATATATATATATATGCGTGTGTGTGTGTGTGTGTGTATTTCATTGAAAACGACAGACAAGATGCTTTTATTTAGTTTTTTATACAATTTCTCATGCGATCTAATATTTTTTTTTTCGGATGATAAATTATATAAAACCTGTCCGAATGTTCTTTTTATCCGAGCGCTTTCGGCTATACATTTAGCCATTTCCAAAGATTATATTTTAACTGTTAAAATAAGGAATAATTTGTTGTATGTATGTTTTATAGAATGTTTTCATTTTTCAAAACACGGTCTAATTGAGCTATGGTCAGAAAAGTGTAGAGTGAGTCTGCGTGACAAGCATGTTGTAGTGTGGCCTATATAATTATTTACGAATTTTGAGTGATCAGCAATACAATTTCTTAATGGGTATTTAAATTCGTAAATAATATTTTCCCTATTTAATCTTGTTCTAGGAGGTGAATTATTATTTTTTATTTTATATTATATATATATATATATATATATATATATATATATATATATATATATATATATTTCAGGTAAGATGAGAACGATCAGAGTACAATTCGAATGTCCGAAACATTTTATTTAAAAGCGGGTTCAATACAAAGTAGAGCAATATTATTTATTTTAGGATATTGCACCGAAAACATGTCAAAGTCGCCACACAATTGCAATCGTGTTTCGATGCGTATCAATGCATCTCATCAGGCGATTGTAAATTACCGGCGACTGAACGGAGTCCTTCACTCACCAATAATTTACTGTAATTGTGTAGCAATTGTGTAGCGATTTTGACATTTTTTTTCGGTGTAATATTCTAAAATAATATATATATATATATATATATATATAGTCTTAAGGTGTGCTATATGTATTTTGTTGTAATACACACACACACATATATATATATATATATATATATATATATATATATATATATATATATATATATGCGTGTGTGTGTGTGTGTATATCTTAATTTATATATAAGTAATGACATATATACCATAGTGAACTTGTTGAACTCGATTTATAACTTGTAACTTTAATTGGCTGATTTCGAAAAACATTTCGGTTCTTATTCTTGGGCCGTTTTAATTTTTAGAATAAATAATGACAAACATAGTTCCGAGGTCACTTCGAATGTGATTCTTAATTAAGGATCTATAACGGTCGTTTACTTTTCTTCTGGAATATACAGTTTGATTACGATAAAGGAAAACTTGTTGTTTATTGATGCTCATGATAGATAGATAGATAGATAGATAGATAGATAGATAGATAGATCCTTGTGCGTATCAATGCATCTCATCAGGCGATTGTAAATTACTGGCGACTGAAATAAAACGAATAATTCCGTTATTTACTTTTTTCGTATTTTCC